CTAAGGTAGAATAACTTACTGAACTTCTGCTCCTGGAAAACTACCAGCTTGTTAAAGTTTATGTGAAAATACGTGTTGTTTAAGGATGTTGGGCTTTCTTAGGGAAAGGTTATTTACGGTAATTATAAAACTTGAAATTGTTTCATTAAAAAACGGTATGCAATGAACACGCCTAGTAAAAAATTTCTCATGTGCTTCATACAAAAATGTTTTTCATTAAACTATTAGTCCTTTGGCATGATTGTTTGAAGTTGCATAATTTGTGCTTTGCAGTCATGCCATTTAATCTGTTGTAATAAATCTATGACTGTAATAGGTAAATGTTGCCATGATTTTATGTTGATCCTGAGTATTCTTATTGCATTTTGCAGTTATTGGAAAATGTCTTGAGCAAATGTGATTTTAAAACAGCCTTAAAAACATGTAACTTCTATTCTTCTCATTTTTATTTCCATTTGTAGATTTATGTAAGGTTAAAAACACCATAACATTAATTTACTCAAAAATAACGCCTCGTATCACAAAATATGTAAAAGTCAACCAGTCACTGTTTAATGTTCGAACAAATGAGCTGCATTTAAAAGCTGTCTGTAGTGACACTGATGACCTGCGGCTGGACTCTGTTCCTGTTGCAGTTGAAGAGCCAGGCTGCCCTCGTGTGGCGGTAGCGCTTTGACAGCAGCACATAGAGGACAGGGTTGATGCAAGGGTGCAAGTACTGAAGCACAGTACAGACAAAGTAGAACATCTCCCAAGCCTGTCCGTGGCGGTACAGCCCCAGGTACACACACAGCTCTAGCACATAACCAGGCAACCAGCACACCGAGAAAGTAGCTGCAGCTAAAAACACCATGACATTGGCGCGGCGTGTGTTCCTTGCGCTGGAAACTGACATCACCGGGCTCTTGTGGAGAAAGAGAGCCAGCCGAACATAGTTGAAGGCAATGATGAGCATTGGGATAAAGTAAAAGAGTACAAACTGGCTCAGGACCACCTGGTAGTGGTGGTCATGAATGGTTGGAAGGCAGAAGGTAAAGTTTGCCAGGCTTGGGCCCAGGCTGTCTTTGTTGGCAAACATACGCAAGGGCAGGCTGATGAAAAAGCTGAGGGCCCAGACCAAAACAAACATGAAGATGACCAGGTCCATGGTCGGAGGCTGGTACGGATTGGTAATGATCATGGCCCGAGTCATGGACACAGCACACAGTGAGTAGGTGCTGGCTGCCAGGCTGAAGGCCAGGAGAAACTGGTAGACTTTGCAGGATGTGTCACCCAAAGGCCAGGAGTGACTAACAGCCGAGTGCAGGGTGAAAGGGATGAGCAGGAGAGTGAGGAAGTCAGCTAGAGTCATACTGAGGAGGAGGATGTCGAGACGGTTCTTCCGCAGAGTGTTGTACTTGGCAAACAGAGAGAAGACGAGCAGGTTGGCACAGAGCCCGATGCCCAGAATCACTCCACAGGTGCAGGCAAAGATCAGCCCGTAGGTGTTGGGGACGGCCATTTTAAAAACCCATAGATATCACCTTCAAAAAGAAAAGAAAATGATTTGATCATCCTATCAACAATTTAAAAAAATCTCTCCCTTCAATGCTTTTCAGGTTTTTGATATTTTGTCATATCGTCACCTTATTAAAATAATAGCCTCAGTCATTGTTTGACGAAAATGAGATTTTGGCCTAAATCATCACCTAAATAAGGATTTAGGCAATTTTACCAGAGATGGCCAGCATTATCAAAAGATGATTTAGGCCAAAAACTCATCAGGGTGACGATATACGATAGTGAGTTTAGCACTTTAAGAATTTGATATTTCATATTTAAAAGAAAAATAGCATGGCCAAAATGCAATATCAACACTGTTCAAAGGGTTTTGTTAATTATTTATGGTACTTAGCATACATACAGTGTTATTTCATTAGACTATACAGTTCATTATAATATTTTCAACAGAAAAGGTTTAACACAGTAACAATAATAATGTCCTCTGTTAAACATAATGTCTCCCTATCTACTTTCAAACAGCTTCTCTGCACTGTCGTTTGTTTTACCTGATAGTGCAATTCACCGAGACAGGTGTTTGTCTTATCTGATGTTGTTGCATTTCCTAATGGTGTCAGATGTAACAGCTATCCGTCCTTTTCTTAGACTCACCATTGTTGTTCTTTAAAGCAGTTTCCTCCGACTCCTGCTCGTGAATGAAGGCCAAAGATGTTGCTGTGCTCCATCCTGTTAAACTGGACAGATGATAGGAGAGGTGGCAGACTCTCAGGACTCATTACAAAGTGTGATTGCTTGAATGTAGAGGGAAGAAAGGCAAACAGCACTTGGGTCAAATTGATTCTGGTTGACCAGGTTTAAAGAGAAACGGCAACAGACCAGCTGCTGAGGTAGAAGGATATTAAACACGTCTGTTTTGTTGGAGCTGCAGAAGTATATGTTTGATTTTTCTGGGTTTGTTTGGCAGTAAAGACATCATAACCCTTCTTTGGACTTTTTTTAAATCTAAATCATATGTCAGTCTTTTTTGGGCTCTTTTTGGAAGCTGTTGTGCTGACCTTGTCTGACCTGTTATTGTTTTCGTTAGCAACATTATGAAAAATATATTTTTGATTCCATTCACATTATATTAATAATATTTGGAAATCTGCTCTCGCTGTATAATAACAGAGTAGGTCATTGATAACTGTGTCTGTTCCTCTTCTTCTCTGCAGATATTAATGTCTCTGTCCATTGTTTGATTGATTTCTTCAGTGCAAGCTGCAGGCTTTATCAGGCTTTCCACAGCATTTATGACTCCGTGTCAGCTAATGGCCCATGGTGTACACTGCTGCTCTTAGCACAGGATATAGCTGATGTAGATGCATTTGCTTACCCCTCCATTACCCATGACCGTGCCGGGCAGTCAGTGGCTGTTAAAATTGCCACATGTTCTCAAGTGGGACTTAAACAGCTTTGTTGTTTTCCTTCTGTGCCAAGCCAATTGATGTTTTTTTCAGTTTCTGTTTCAGGCCCATGATTTTAAAATGAATGGAAGAGCAGTTTGACCTAAATCCTACCAGTATTTTCACTAAGCAGGAGCCCCTAAAGTGACTGATGGGGATTCAACAGCTGTTTTATCCTAAAAAAAAACAGTTGCAGAGAATAGTCTTATTAGAGTTTGGCAGTCAAGTCAACTCTTAATCTCTGGTAATGGACTTAAACAAGTAAAGGTTTTAACTCTTTTAAAATAAAAAAGTTACCTAGTTAAGTTGCCATCTTATTCATTTACAGAAGAAAAATGAGGAGTCCAGTGGAAGTTGTTTTGACAAGAAATTAATCATAAACTACTTAAAAAATCTTTAATTGTATTTAATTTCTTTTTGGACTTAAGTAAGAAATTTACTGGTTCATTATTTTCTTAGTTGGAGTTTGTCTTTTATCAGTTAATTCAGTTCTTATTTGAATAGACCACTATGCAGTCATAAGACATTCAAAAAATTGTAACTCACTAATTATCTTTCAGGAAATATTTAATACGTTTAATAAAATACCCTGTAATACAAAATTCAGTATATTTGATTTCACAAATGAACTATCATACTTAAAAGATGTAACAGGGTACTGGCAATTTCTGATGGGGCCAACATTTACTTGATTATTTTCTTGAGCGTTCATATAATTCCAGTAAAAATGCAAACAACAGCTGTTTTGATAGGCGGGCAACAAAAAATGATCTCCTGGGCTCCAATAAATGGGGTTATTTTCCTTTTTTTAGTACCACACTGTACTGCAGTGAAGAAAAGGTTAGTGAACATAGACCCTTATAACTTGGCCCAGTTCCTCTGAATTATCAGATGTCATGAATGTGTGTGTATCTGCTGGATTTTCCTCTCTTGTCATTTAACATTTTTTGAATTTTAAACATTTTATAGCTATCATTATACCGAGAATTGAAGCTCCATGATTAACAAAAAGGTCCATGTGGCACCAGTCTCATGTTTCTGTAAAACCACCAATAATGTAACATAACCAGCACATTTTTATAGGAGGACAAAGGGACCTGCAAAATATTGGTACTTGACGACCTGTGAATTAGAGCAGTCTGAGTTTTGTCTGGGTTTTGAGGGAGCTTCAGGTGTGACAGGGAGGAGAGACAAACAGGGGCACACACACATAGCATACAGGTTTAAGGGAGTGTCACTGAAAGCATCCTTGAAATAAGTTGTGTGTTATCATTAAGCAAAGACACCATGAACCAACCATGTTTCTAAAGGCTACATTTTTAATGCTTGATTAATTGAAAACATGTACAGTTTGCCCTCAGTGCAAGTAAAGAACATTTTAAAGGCGTCTTCCATCAAAAAAAGAAAAAATGCCTGAAATGTCAAAAGGTGGAAGTGGGATTGAAGAAGCATCCTACAAGCTACCAGATGAGAAAGGAGAGCAGAACCATCAAAAAGATGCATCGAATCAAAAGTCAACCACAAAAGAACAAGAACAGTATATAACTAAAGTGCATTTGGAATTTAGTCAGCAGCACCTCAATACATTCACAAAATAAATACACACTTTCAAAGTGAAATAAATTATGGCAGAACAGTTTGGACAGATGAATTCAGTGAACAGTTTGTATTTGACTCAGTCCAACAAAATAAAGCCAAACAAAAGCAGAGTCTCTCTGCCTCCTGGTTTTGTGAAGTTACATTATGGTCAGACAATAAATAATTCCTCTTCCTGTACACCCAGCAGGTGCCAAAACACGGCACTGTTTTGATGCAAATTTTGCTTACTGTGGCCTAAAGATGTCCAGATAAATATGGAGCAGAGTTGTTTGGACATTAGGAAAAATAAAACTGAAAATACAAACCAAGCAAATAATTATCATATAAGCACAGTCCCAGGGTCCTAATATTAACTGACAGTCAGTCACGAGTTAAGTCTCTTGAATTCTAGTCTAGTCGAGCCAGACAGTGTCTTAGTGCAGTACCATGTAAAGTTTCCTAGTTGGGATACTGCGTCCTTCATGGCTCCTTAATTGTAACCGACCGGGCCTTCCTCCGTTTCTTGTTCTCGCTCTCTCTGCGTCTCCCTAACCTCACCTTCTTTTTTCTCTTGGTGGCCACTTTTAGCGGCTGGTCCTTATAAGCCAGAGCCTTGTTGGTCTCTTGGGGCAGGTGAGAGCCGTCTCTGTCCAGCTTGAACCTTTCAGGGAGGTTCTTTGTGGCTCCTGGGGGCTTCTCAGGCAGGGCATTCCCACTGAAGGTTTGGCTCTGGGTTCTGCTCTGCACAGGTGGAGCTCGCTCGTCAGCTGTGTGAACCTCCTCCAGCAGCTCGTGCAGCCACATGCGACGCTTAAACTCCTGCAAGGAGCGGCCCTTGTCGTGCATCAGTTGGGCGTGGCTCACTGACCTCTTCCTAAAAACCAGAAAGAGTAAAAATGCGTCAGACCAGTTAGTGAGGTTATATAATAACCAAAAGCATCTTTACACTGCATGGTTCATGATATTGATCCCGCCTATTAGATTTCTGTCGTCTCCAGGGTGTTAAAAATGTCTCTGAACTCAAATGATAAGACATCTACATTAGAGTGCCCTGTCCCTGAGGTAAAATCTATAAAACAGCTCAAGTTTTGACTCATATGTTCCCCTGGTCTTTCACAGTTTTGAGTTTATATGTCTAATTCATGAGTAGTGGCAAGTGAAGTTTAAGGTCAAGCACCAACAAATCTCAGCACAGTAGATGGCAGCATAAACAAGTTCCTGAGAGCCGTCACTGATCTGAGCTCAGAGCTGAAACTGAGAAACCCTCCTGTACTTAAAGTTAATCAACAGGTAGGAATAAGTCAAGTTTACTAATCTCAAAAAAAGAGGATTTCTTTAAAAGAAATACAGCTTCACAAACTATAAGTGAGTTCTTCAACCTTAAGCCCTTTTTTTACCCAAGATGTTTTACATTCAAATGGTCACCACAATTAATATAGAAATAACTCACGCTCTGCTACTAAGTGCATCAACTGGTTTCCCGTCAAGAATCACTGGGGAGCACAGCAAGAACACAGCCAGACTCCACTGATGAATCAGGACTAAAGAGCGCATCATTGAGCCTAAGATCTGGAGGAACACAACAAATATTTCATCATTTACATGAATTCATCAAGCAAATCTTTACACTAACTGCTAATTTTCTGTTGGGTAGTTTGTCTAACCAGCTGAAAAATGGTTAAGTTCCTGCATACATAAGGTCCCCCAGGCAGCGTTACCTGTGCCAATAAACAGTTTATTAAGGGAAAACAGCGTGGACTTACATGGTTGTAATTTCTACAGTTAATATCCACAAAACAAGGAAGTCTGCGAGCCTTTAAGAAATATTCTTGTTGCAAAAAAAATGAAAAAAAGTAAAAATATTAAGCCAAATGTAGTGTGTCCAGCACAAAACTGGTGTCCAGATCCATTGGTGTGTAGTCAGTCTGGGGAAATCCCCTGTCAGACTGCTCCATTCATTTGCCTCCCAACAGTGAGTGTTGAGCTATTTATTTCTCCCCAGTGTTCCAATTAAAAGAAAGATAAAGATGGAAAGCGCAGTGGCAGTAGCCCATCAGCTGTGGGGCTACCTCCCCACTCAGCCTTGGAGTAATCTCCTGAAGAGTATCAGAGAAGCATCTTCTCTGGTGGTCAGAGCCTGAGAGCTGAGAGAGCTGAGAGGGTTTTCAGTGCAGCACTGTGAGCAGCCAGTCTGTCTAAGAGGCACAGAGAGAAAGTCTAACTCCTCTTTGGGTGAAGATGCAGTTACTGCCTTAGCCCCTACCCATTAAGTCCAGTCCTAACACCCTCCCCAACCCTCCCCTTTCTTCTTCTCCCCAACATTCACACACCTGCTGTGACTAGAAGGTGGTGCCCACACAACATCCAAACCGCGTAACAAAGAGCATACTTAACTTGAGCGTCAAATAGATGCTTCTCGATGTTCAATCACTTTCACATGATTTTAGGTGGTAAATAAAACAGGTTAGAAATGACAGGTGTTCACCAACGGCGGTAATCATGGGTTACCAAACAGAGTGTATACAGGGAGAGGAAGGGTAACTCCAAAATAAACAGCCAGACCAAACCACATTCCCAGGGGAGAATGACCATAACCTCAGAGAAACCCAACCCACAGCCTCTCACTGCAGACCATTCAACTCACCTCCACTCTGCCTCAGCAAACCAGCTCACCACCGAATGGTTACAGTGGGCTCTGAGGTATCTCTCATATTCAGCTAATAAGGAAAGAGGAAAGTATTGCCTCGAGGCAGTCATAAAACACATCCTAGGCTCAAACTCTCTTTCCAGGCAATGAAAGCCTTCTGAGACATCAAGCTTCATAAGTCATTTAGAAATGTAACACAATAATTAAAGAGTCTGATGTGAAAGAAAGCACTAAGGCTAAAGCTGCATCTATTTTTAGTCCAGCATTAACTGACAGGATTAAATACACATGTGCATTATTACATGAACAAGGCAGGGGATTTCTAAGAACCATTATGCCAAACGATTTTTACTTTTGTGTAGTTTTCTACAGATTCCCTGAACCTTTTAATGATGTTGTGTACAGTAGAAATGTATTCTCCCAGGATTTTGCAGTTTGACACTGAGGAACATCATCTTAGACACTCATACTCTCCTTTACACAGCTTCTTTTATTTTAGAAATGAGGTTGTACAAAGCACACCCAATGGAGTTATGTGGATTAAACTAGTGTTGCGAGGGTGACCATTCTTCCTCTTTCACACGGACATGTCCTCTTTTTGGGGGGCTTTCCAGCCTTGTCCAGCTTTGTCCAGGAAGTGTATAAAATCCTTCTAATGTCTGCGGTTTTGTATAGAAGTTTCGATTTTGTATCACATGGACTTACTGAGTTAGAAGCACGTAAAAGACACTCGATCCGACCTGAAAAACTTTCAAAATTAACTTCATGTGACTCTGTGACTCCGCCCCCGCGTAGTCGTGTCCTCTTTTTGGGAAGTCAGAATATGGTCACAGGTCACCCTAGTTTTGCAGGTATTTGGTCTCAAACAGACTGAATTGTTGACACATCTTGTTGGATCAATCCAGGCATTTATCCATGAAAACTTTCTACATTTTAGACACAGGCAAGGATGCATTTTGTTACAGATATTGGGGTAGCAGTAGCTCAGGATGTAGAGCAGTCGTCCAATAATCACAAGGTTGGCAGTTCGACCCCCCCCCATCCTGAGTCTGTCCGTTATGTCCTTGTGCAAGACTGGTGTATGATTGTGTGTGTTTTGTGGTGTTGGTTGGAGAGGCCGTAGGCACCAACTGGCTGCAACATTTCCGTCAGTCTGCCCCAAGGCAGCTGTGACTACTAAGGTAGTTTACCAACACCAAGGTGTGACTGTACGAGTAAATGTCAAAATGTTAAGTGCTTTGAGGGTCTCTGATAAAGCACTGTATGAAATCTGATGCATATTATTATATCAGCATCTCATTATATTAATCATTAAGTGATCTGGAAGTGATGAAGCACATCACAGTTTAAAAGTTCATTCAGCCCGGGATTGATCATAATAATCCTAATGACTTTTGCCGTAATCGAGCAGCTCTACCTCTGCTGCCAAGATAAAAATACACCCTTTGTTACTCACAAAGCGACATTTGTGATATTTCTCACTTTTAATCAAGTCATTAATACTTTCTCATTCCAAACAGTTCATTTGTTGTGACCTGTAAAGCTTTAATGGTCTGTCATCAGGGATCATGTAGAAAAAGAAAAGCATATTTTGCCTCCCCAGCTCCCAAACAGCCTTTTCTACATTTATATTTATTATTATACTTTGTGCCTACTTATCATTAGTTAGTAATTTTGATTATGTAAGCATGCAGACACAACTTTAGGCTGCGGACTTGTTTTAAATTGTTTATGGAGTGGTTTAGAAGAATACAGTCCATTCAAAATTTTGGGTCATTTGTGTGGTTAATGTAACGACTTTCACCGTTTTACTGGGTGGAATAACTTGCATTTCTCCTCATGAATAAAACTCATAAATTATTTCTGTGAGCAGTGATGATTAGTAGAATCACTCTGGGCCAGACTGTAGACCAGTCGGTGGTAAATTACTTAATAGAGGGCTCAGTATTTTACAAGTAGTCATGATTCAATTCAGCAAGGGGTCCAGAGGGGGTTTGGGGCTGGGACAAATATATGGCAGACCCCCCCTGCTGTCTCCAAGACTCAGCTTTCTTCTGTTTCCAAAAAGTCTGCCCTAAACGTCCAACACTTTTACATTCAGTAGGGAAAAAATACCTCATTCGATTCCATTCTGCTCAGGCTTTACCTGCGAAAAAAATTGAAAAAAAAAAAAAAAAATCCCATTTCCTGGCAGACAGCAGCGTATGGAACAGGAGCCAGGAAAGCTGCTTTTGATTCATGGTAAATTGCACTCTCAACACTGAGCAGTATTCCTGTACGTTTTTCATGCTTTTCACACTGCACCTACTTCACATTAACACAGGCAGCACATATACACACATACACACACACACACCCACCCTTGTTTCAAAGAATTTCAGGCGTCTTATTCCAAACATCTACTTCTGTACGCACTTCCAGAGAAACACCCTCATTTTATGTTTAAATCCAGAGTTCAGCATCTATTTTTGGATGTGTTGTACCCATTCCCTCTATTGACCCACCCTCTTATGTCATAAATCCTAGCTTCAGTTACAGCAACAGTTCCTGCTTTTGTTTTGAGTTACGTTCAGAGGCGCTATGTAGTTGGCTTGTACATTACAACTCTGTATGAGCCAGCGCTGATTCCCACACAAGTAACACTCTGGTTCTGTCAGCATTCACTATTATTTTAATACTATTTTACAGCACCCCTCCCCTTTAACTCCCTCCCAGCTTCAAGTGAAATTTGAACATAACGGCTAAGTGAAAAGTGAAGACATTTTCATTCAAACATAAAATATCTGTTGAATAAAAACAGTCGGTTTGTTGAATAGGACATTCACCGAAGTTATATAACACCTCAAATGTCATCTTAAAACATGAGGTTAACTTGAAAAGGGTGGAATTATAGTGTGCTTGATAATAGTCCTTTTATGATGCAGTCACAGCTTTAATTTCGATCTGTTCACACGAAAACTTCAGGTTTTTGAACATTGGACACCTCTCTTAAAAATTGACATGTGTAGTTACTTTCACCTCTTATTGGTTTTCAAATGGTGCTTTTTTTAGTTTGCTTATAATCATGTGTTGTGGGTTATTAGAATGATTTTCATCTAATCACTTCCACCTACCAATCATATCTGTCATCCTATGAACGCTCTTTGTTCCTCTGTACCTTCTTTTGGTTGAGCTATTTTTAACAGCTCTGCGTCTTCAGTGCTGCATTTATAAATAAGAACTGGAGAGCTGATATTTAAAAGTGATTCTCTTTGTAACATCCTTGATGTTTGATTTGATGTTGCTAAAAACATGTTATGAGCAGATTTTGCCAAAGCACACCTTGGTGCTAAGATGATTTTGATAACTAACACAGTTACTGTCCAGATAAAGATCAATTACTGTTTCAACTATAACGTGTTTGAAGATTTTGGAGAAATTCTTCAAAACAAATGATTTGCCTTTTTTGTAACCATTAATGATTATTTTCATTCTTGTTAGGTGACATTTTCCAAAAGAGTCTTTCGCTCACATTTAAATGAGGGTTTGAGTCGATGTTTCCTGCATAAAACAGACTTTGAAGTTGTAGGCACAATTCACAAAGAACAGATGAGTTTGGAAGTCAAAGAGAGGTCAGTCCTTAACTTGTTTAAGGGGCGTACATCCTGAGCATTACTTTATCCCTGCTGAGGGTAACCCAAACATACCTTCCTTCGTCACACATTTTCTTCATCTAAAAAGCAGCCACAAGATTTGTCTATTCCTGTTTCTGCTGCTTGATATATGTTAATCCCCCTCAGGTAGCACTTTGAGGCTAAGTTCTTATTTACAGCTACATCTTTTTTTACGTTATTCATAAATGTCAAGCTCCTGGAGACACTGAATCAGGGAGGTCCTACCAGGACAAAAGCTTGTTGTCCAGACTCAGTCTGGAGCACAGGTACATTAAATCATTATTTTTCAGACAGGAAATATCTGCCACTGGACATTTTGCCTGTAAAATGTATTTCTAAGATGAAATGATTCCTGCCTGGCACAGCTCTACTCTCATCTGAACTGGTGTGTTTTTATACTCATCTATTCAATGTTTAAGTATTCTAATGAAAACCGTAAATGTTGTTCATCTTGTAATTACACGATGCCGAAGTTGTGATTCAAAGAAGAAAAACAAGTCCATTGCCTGAGTCTTTGACCTGGCCTTACGAGGTGCCCACTACATTAGCATTTCTCTCTTGGCAGAAGTCAGTGGTAGGGTGTCTGAATGTGGTCGGCCTCTCTGCAGTGGGCCCTGTGCTCCAGGCTCTGGGGAAGAGTGGAGGGGGAAGAGGGGGGTCTCCTATCTCCAATCTGCCTCAACCCCAAACCACAAGCTGCCCCATATCTGATGCCCCTCTTTTCACTCTCCTGACCTCAGAGGCAGACCCCAAGCCAGCTGGACACAACCCTAAACCCCACACAGTCACCACCGATGGCCACCACCCTCCTGCCCCTGACCTATCACCCAAAACATTACCATAAACTTCTGCACAGCTGCCAAGCA